AAAACAAAACAACTATACATGTATAGACACGAAAACTACATTAAATGTTTTATATTCATCACTGTGTTGCCATATAGGCTTATGGACACATTACAGCTGATATTAATATAAGATTTTGAATCTGGAGATTCTATCTGAATAACAAAAATCTGTTGCAAGGGAAGATGTAAATGTAGCATGCCATGATTGGCATTCAGTCCAATCAGCAAGACCACAGGACGGTCTGACTCATAGAAATGGCCTGTGGATCAGATGTTATTGTCCACTTCATGTATATATAGCTCACACGTTAATACCAGGCGGAGGCCTGGGTGGCCATTATGTCTATAATAAGAGATAATGGACTACTGAATGCTGTGATAGTGGGAGTGGAGTTGAAAAGATGCCAGGCAGATTAGGAACTGAACTACTACTTTTGGGTTAGTTGATTTATTTATTTGTGGTTAAAACCTCTGTACTTTCTGGTTAGCTGATGCCAAGTGATTCTGCCATGTGCAGAAAACTCTACAGCAAAGGGAAAACACAGCTGCATTTCTTTATTCAATTTTAACAAATGTAATTAGAACAATGCAAACATTTTCAGCTGTAAAGACAATGATCATGAGAGAAACAACCTAAAGGCTTGTAGCAACTGTTAGGCAAATTTTATTTCCAGTGATCAATCCCAACACAAATGTGTCAGTTGTACATTTTTTACAACTAAAGAGTCATGAAGCAGCATATTCCTTGGTGTTTTAACAGCCTGCTAATTAACTAATTGTACTGTATGCTCTTATTTTGTTGGATATGCTCCTGGTAGTTCTTTTTTTACAGGGACATATGTCTTTCTCTTGGAGGAAGCACAATGACACAAAGTGAAGAAGCTGTGTCTCATAGAGATAACATTTACACTGTATGTTACTAAATTCTTTTTCTATGCATACAAAGTGCCTGACTATAGAGACCCACCTGTGTTTATGTTTAGGTAGCAAAGGTTTGTTTTCCAGGAGGAATTGTCCTTTTTTCTCAGCACTGTAAGGACTTCTCATCCACATGGGTTTAAAACCGAGGTTCAGAAATCTGTGATATGATCGAAAGCTTGTGAATGAATGTTGGTGATATTGTTGTTTTAATTAAAGTTTTTCTGAAGTTCAAAGGGAATTGCAATAATTCTGGACTGCAAAAGAATCTAATTTGAACTACCATGATGGGCGTCAGTCCCTATCGCACCTCCAACGCTGTTTTCATCTTGTACCAATCTTCCATTAGTTTGGATCCCTTACGTTTTGTGTTCATGTAGCATTCATTATTTATGTGAACAATGTCCAGGCACTGTGTGGTTTTCTCCATCATCCCCTCCATACAATATCAATCAACTGATTGAACAACTTTACAAATCATTTCATAGCTCAGAGTTTCAGAGGTTGATGTCAGGGTGAATTAAAAACTAGCCTTTGATGCTTTTCTGCCATCTAAACCTTTTTGAAGTTATGCCTATTAAAAACTGCTTCAGCATTTGGTGAGTCGGGCTCATCGGTCCCCTTGCATGATGAGAGCGTTGGCACCAAAATCACCTGTGTGTCTTCAGTGGCTTGCATCATTTTAAAACACAACGTGTCAAGTAACTGCTGTGAGATAATGAGCGTCTGCAGCGTACGTCTGTACCTTTAACTGGCTGTTTTTAACATAATCTTACATCTAAAGCTGCCAGGCTTGGTTACTTGTTTACAATGTCTTCATCATTAGTGAACTACATTATGAATAGCAGAAGCTATGAATATACAAGCTTTAAAATAAAAGCTGGCAAAGTGTTGGCATGCAACAGATTTGTCAGTGAGCTCTTTAAAGCAAAGTTCATAGAAGGTTCATGCAGAGAGCTTCCTCAGTGGATAAAGGCATGTTTGGTTTGGCATTTTATCTCTTTTGCTGTGGAGCCAAATCAAATGACTCAGCCAGACAGCTACAAACCTCAATGGGATGTGGCAACACCATTCACTTTACTTTCCCTGTGCAAAAAACCATTAATCCGATAGAGAAGATAATTGCAGACCCTACTCATGGTGAATACTGAACAGCAACTCCTTTGGTACAGATGCTTTATGCACAGTGAAAAGCTGCAGGTCTGTCTCTGTGCTCTCCACAGTAGCCCTGTTTTCTATTACGAGTCCCTCATATATGTAAATATATGGATATGAATGTGAGTAGTGATATTTGTTACAGTATGTTCATGCATATGTTGTCTGAGGCTTTTGGTTCTTTATCTGTGCCCTTATACAGTCCTTGTGAAAATATTTTTAATATTCCTAAAATATCACCCTCTGTGTATACTGCACTATGTCACATTCATTTACTAAGTACATACACAGTATATACTGTATATGCCACATTCAGTACATTCATAGGGTTTGAACATGTGACATGTCAACAATGTCTGTCACACATTCATTAGGACATGTGCTGTATAAACGCATACAATCCTAAAAATTCAAACAAATAAAGCACCGCCCTTTAGTGAAGCTGCAGACCAGCCTACGTTTTGGCCACGTTGTTGAACTATACAGGAAATACAGGGTCTGCACCTCTTTGGACTGTTGAAAAACAGGTGAACCACCACAGAGAAACCATCAGAACTGAATAGAAGTGATTTACGGTATCAACACTGTTGTATGACTAATTATAAAATGATATAATTCTATTTGTGCCCTTTGTGCTCTAACTTTGATCCAATCTCACTGTTATGACCAAGATAATCTAAAACTCCAACAAATTAGCATAATATCTCATCATGATGGTGTATAATGAACTATGAGCGGCTCAGTGGGAACCCCAACAACTCATCAGTTACAGCATACAAAAAAATCTCAGCACAGTACTTTTACATCAAAATGTGATAGGATTTGTTAAATCGCTAGTTAATCTGACAGGAAGACAGGAAATCACCATGACTGTCACGTACAGTAGGTCTAAGATGTCAGTAAGTGACAGCTGTGACAGGAGTCTTTGTAGAGGCGAAACATAAAAGGCAAGGGCATGCCCACTGATGGATTAGCTACAATAATGTAAGGTGATGGAAGAAAATAGCAATGGGTTCAGAGAGCAAATGACACACATCCCCATGAGACTGAAATGGTGCAATGAGAACCAAAAGAAATGTGGTGACATTTTTCCTCCATGTGTGGGGACAAACTTTATGCATCCAAGATAATCAGAGAAGATCAGGTACAAATAAGATGAAAGTGGGATTCCACATTGCTTTGCTTTAGAAAATCCTCTACTGTGTGTGTCCTAATTTCTTGCAAAACAGTGTGATCACTGACCTTTGCCACCTTTAAATGAATAGTTCAGAATACTGGTCCCAGGCACACAATCTGTAGCTGGTCTCTGTCCTTTGGTTTTTGTACATCCAGCGTTCAGCTGCTACTTCGACAGCCAAGGACCAAATTCATATGCAGCCAGTAGGTTACTGTATGAAACACTAATAAGTGGGAAGCAAAGGACCTTGAGCTGCTTTGATAGCACGCTAATTTTCCAGGAAGATTCTGAAAAAAAGGAATTTCTAATTCGTAATTTACCATTATCACTCATCTTATAAGTTCTCTGCATTTTTTCCATTTTTTTTTAAATATATGACACAGTGCAGTTATGGTTTCTATACTAAACAAGGGATCCTGCCATGTTGTGTTGCACCAGCCAGGAGGTGACCCACTGGGAGCACAGTACACCCATCAGCAGCAACATGGCATCCGAGGGTCTGATCCTCCAGTGACATGTTCTGGCTGAAAGAATCTGATGTTTGCCACAACCCTATAATCTAACTACCATGTGTCCCACTCACATGCTTATGGATGTGGAGCAAATAAGATTAGAGATGGTAGAGAGGCAAAGCTTCAGAGAATGAGCGAACAACCTCAGCTCAGGCTGCATGAGGCCATGAAATCGAACTTGTTTGTACGTTTCCTGTGGACAACTACATGGCTTATCCCTCTGTGATCTGCTGGGATATCAGCACTTTGTAGGCACTACTTGATTTCTCTCTTTCTTCATTAGATCATAACATTATTGTAAAAGCACAATGTCCAGTGGAGGTGGGAGCCGGTAATCTGTACTGACACAATAAGGATCTGAGGCTGACAGGTTGCCACACACTCTGGCCTCATCCTGACCCTCAGCACCTCAGCCCCATGCTTCCTAAAGCTTACAAACACCACAAAGGAAAAAATAAAGTTCATAAGCTGCTCAGCAGTAATTCAAATTAAATATATATCTGTTGACTCTAACCTTTGTTTATCTTTGCTGCTCACTTCAAAACAACACGTAAGACAACTGAATGCCAATACCTTATAAAGGTGGAAAACGATAGTTCTGTGCATTAGCTGCTCATGTGCTGAAATATTTTTTCAAGATCTGTGTCCTTCCTCTGTTTAAGGAATAAAAGCCTCCATTCAGGGACTGCTCTGTGCAGGCGGGGTAGTGATGTGATGTGTTGTCTTTTCAAGGATATAAAATGTCCAGTGATGAACAGTAGGTGGTAACGAGAGCTGCACCATTTAAATTACACATGCTGAGTCATCAAAGATTTTGGCACTGAGACAGCAATGATAATATACTGGAGATGGTGGTTGACTCAGTAAAGTATTGATTTTGATACGGTCCTAATAAAAAGCTATGTATACTATATTGCTTACGACTGAAGCAGCACACTGAGACTTAAGGATATGGTATTATTGTTCATGGACATTTGTAATTTCAGTCATTGATAATGTGATAGATGCATTTTGGCCATCTGGACATATTTTAGTCTGGATTCAATGTCACAGCACCAAGATTTTTAATAAATACGTCATCACGTTAGATCAGATATGAATAACCAGGTTTCTCATGTTTCGTGTCTACATCATATCCTAATTATGATCTAATGTGCATGCAAACTCTCTGTGAAGCTGCTTTTGCCTACTATGTTACACACAAATGGAACCAGCATCCTAACGATATTAAATGGACTCCAACCTAATGCAAAGAAAATGTGCTGTTCTCCTTTGATGATGATTTGTCTATTTGTATTTTATTTAGCTCATTTATTTTATTTTAACTTTTAAAAATTATGACTGTACATTGTTTTCCTGTGTGACTCAGTTGTCAGTGTCACTGTGCCGAGCTGTGAAGGAGCCAGTTTTAGCTCAGAAACATTGAGTGGCCAAGTCAGTCAGCTCCATAAGATGTGTCATTGTTCTGCAGCATGTAATTTCAGGCAATGGTGCTACTTGGCCTTTTCACTACAGTACACTGCCGTCTCCACAGGTTGCTCAATTGGTCTATATGCATTTGTTGATTGTAGTTTTCTGTGTGTGTGGTTTTAAACTTTTCCTTTGCCACTCATCATCTTTCAGACATCTGACATTACTAACATGCATACAAACATGTTTGAAAAAACTAATATTTTTTTGATAAAACTGTTAATTTCTGAATAAACTGAATTTGAAATCACTTATAATTGACATATAAGGTGTAAAATGCAAATAGAGGCTTACTGACATCATAGTTTACCTGTACTGACAATGACATATGAAACGCTGAAGCATCTTCTTCATGCAGGTGTTGGTGTACATTTGTCCATTGATGCAGATGCAAATGAGAACTGGTAAATCACAGTCTGAAATAACTTACACATCTTTATTTCCAGGAGTGCAGTGGCCTCAGAAATGTCCCTGAATTAAAATTGTTCTCATTGTCAACACTTCTAAGAGTGGCTTTGAAAGGATATATTCAAAACTGTTGCCTTGAAGTCTGAAAAGGTGGGTTGGTGGGTGAGGAACATGACAGGTGGGTACATATGAGCACTGATCCAAGCGCCTTTATCATTTCTGAATGCATAGTTTAGTTTTTGGTATGAACACATGTCACTATAAAGGACAGTGTCAAAAAAGAAAGCCGGGGCACTGACCTGTCAGAGTTTGCCTTGGTCTTTTATTTATTTACTTTTTGTTCCTGCAAGGTGATGCTGGTGTGAGTGAGTCATAGTGTTTCTGAATGGCTGGCCGAGTTTATAAATCTCCACCAGCCCTTAACACAGGAGTTTGAAGGCCACTTATATTTGCAGTCTGACACATGTGCCCATGCAGCAAAGCCAATCAGCCTCAGCATCCTCAGTTTTTACCCAGCACAGAGACAGCTCTTCATCATGAGGTCTTTCCTTCTACTACTCTTCTCCCTGCTGTTGGTGTCTCATGGATCTTCAGCAGTCATCACAGGGGTAAGTTGAAGCAAACAGGTAGAAGCCTCACGAGGCACTGGAAAACCATCTGCATAATGGAAGCATGGAGAACATCTACCTGGCTCTTAAGCTGTTATTTAAAAAAAAAAACGAGAAAATGTTGCCTGATGTACACTGATTATTTTCTTTGGTCTTAATGGAAAACAGTTATGAGGATTACCATCATTTCTCAACATGAGTCAAAACTTCAAATGGTATTAAATTATGGGAAAAAACTTTTATGCACTTGTACCATGTCTTATTTATGCATGCACCTGTTTCATTGTAAAATTTATCAATGGTTAAATGTTTCCCCTTTGTATCAAAATGCAGAAAAAAAAATTATTTAAAATGAAATAAATTTCAAAAACGCCACATATACAGTGCATTTTTAGGCATTTTTGGGTATCTGAATGTAAAATGACAAGAGCACTGTATCAGTTTATCCATAAACACTTACAGGCTTCTAACAACCGACCGGTGAAGCTGCAAATGTGCTCTCTGAATGTTTGTTGTAATAACCAGCATTGTAATAACCAGCTAATAAAACACCCATCTCTGTCACAATAACCCGCTTGCACCATGTTGCTGATGCGAACAAAGAGAGGTGTGCAGGCATCAAACAGAAAGTGATTTTCATCCACGTCTGACACATGAAATCACTTGCGTTCCTCTGCATTGTGTTTCCATCGTCTCATCTAAAGTGAGAGCTGTCACTCAGCTTCTCACTCCAACACTCCAAACAATAAACCATCAACAGCCCTCTTGTGATTTTTTTGACTAATGGTGTAATTACACTTCCATTAGCAAAATACTCCTTTGAGGTAACAACAGCTTTCAGTGTGTATTACACGTGTGCTGTCAACTCACGACCACACAACCTGCCTTTTCCTGTTAAGTATCACATAATGTGTTTAATTACTTTACATACATGCATGCATTATATAACTACATAAATAATTAGTGAATCCATCAGTCTTAAACTGAAACCCTCCTCTTAATATAAAGTTAGTGAGTCATAATGGTGATAATTAGAGACTTTATTATTAATAGTAAAGAATTAATTGTTCTGGCATAAACATTTAAGTGTTGGTCAGAGGTTACCGTTGCATGAAACTAGTCCATCTTTTGGTTTGCATAAGTTGCTAATATGTTTAATTGAATCACAGCATCCACACTTGTGTCCTCTGGTGTGTTTGTATGTGTGTGTGTGTAGGCCTGTGAAAAGGATTCTCAGTGCGGAGGAGGCATGTGCTGTGCGGTGAGTTTGTGGATCCGTACCCTGCGCATATGTACACCCATGGGCCAGGAAGGGGATGACTGTCACCCTATGAGCCACAAGGTGAGGTTTTCTACAGAGGTGTGGTGTCACATATTACTGATGTGTCTCTGTGCAGTGACGTCATGGGGGTGGCTCAGTCAGGTGGTCCTTACCATTTTGTTCATTGCAAAGACACAGCAGAGGGTTTTCTGTCAATAAAATGATGTTAATGGAGCACTCTGCTTGTCCCTGTGGCCTGATGCAACTTTCATATTAAGGTAGTCATTGTTGTGATTTTGCTTTTGAGTGATCACTTGTCAAAGGCAGGAATTATTGGCCTGTCTTGTGCATGTGTTTACCTGATGAACATGAAGCAGTGGTGTCTCTCCTTTTCTTTTACAGGTCCCCTTCTTTGGGAAAAGACTCCACCATGCTTGCCCTTGTCTGCCCAACCTGTCTTGTATCACCACAGTTAGTGGCAGATCCAAATGTCTCTCACCATACAAGTATCAGGACTACTACCTCTAAGGACAAACACAACACTTAGACTAGCTGGTACAAATTTATTTTGAATAAAGCAATATATATTTAACACTGCATAATCTTTTTTTGTTTGTTTTATTTTATGTTTACATTAAAACTCAGAATACATTCAGAGGGAAATACAGTGTTTGTCTTTACCCCCTTGGACTTTAAAGCCAATAAAATATTGAATCTGATTTCAGGTGGGAAACAATGACTACACCCCACTTGATCAAGTGTTGCTAATATTTAAAACACTGAACTACACCATATACTCTAGTTTCTTGTCTGATTCATTATATCTTATTCAGACTTATAATCTATACACCCCGCTGACAGGTTATTAAGTGTACATTGTTCAGTCTCTTATAACAGTCCTGCGATAAGGGGAAGCCACAGTGTGTGCTGCTGTTGAACTGTGCTTCATACAGAGGTGTTTCTGCTTTTCACTTTAACCACACTGATAGGCATGAGCTGAACAAAATAATAGTATAACACAATACAATTTAACAGCAGCACAAACTGAAACCTCCAAAAATCAACACCTCACTAAAATTTTCTTTGGTAATAACAGTAAAATTCACTGAAAATGCCATACTGTTCTACAAATATGTTACATGGGGTTTTATGTCTTCTTGTATTTTGCTTTTGTTTGCCATTTGAGTTTTTGGTGAGTTTTCAGCTGCCCTCTAGGGAAACATGAGGGGAAATACATGTTTCCCTGGAAGTAAAATGACATGCTGAGTGAGTTGGGTCAAAATTTCATTATCCACTCCTAACCAGAAGTGACAGTATTTATTCATGCCTATTTTTTTTTCTAACCACGAAAATAAAAACTGTGTGAACATTTTAATTGGTGTTAAAAGATGAGGGGAGGCTTTCTCACATTTATTGTAACAGCAGGTCTTTATAACACTAGGAAACAGAAAGACAGCTATGAAATTAATCACTGTCAGGCTATGATTCACAGGATTTGTTCAAGGCTCAAAGCTATAATTATTTGTTCAGTGTATCAAGCAGTGACTCACGTCAATCTTATATTTTACAACCCCACATCATAAAAAGTTGGGACGGTATTTAAAATCAAAATTAAAACTTAAAATAGTGATGTATAAATCATCTGTGTCCTGTATTACATTGAAAATAACACAGCAGCACATTATTTGATGTGAAACATTTTATCCTTTGTTCAAAATAAACACTCACTTCAATTCTGATGCCTGCAACACATTAAGTAAAGCATTTACCACAGTGTGATGTTGCCGTTCCTTTTTACAAATCATTTATGGACTGAGGACACCAAGTGATTGTGTGTCAGGTGTAATTTTGTTCCAATTCTTCTGCAAAGAAATCTTAATGTGCACAACAGTCCTGGGTTTTTGTTGACACAGTTTGCATTTTAAAAATTTTAAAATGTGCCACACATTCTCTGTTGGGGACGGGTCGGGACTGCAGACAGGCCGGTCCAGCACTCACACCCTTTTTCTCCACAGTCAGGCCTTGGTAATGTGCAGGATGAGGTTTTGTCCTTGGAAAAGATGTTCGTCTTGAAGGCAGAATATGTTGCTCCAACATCTCTTTGTAGTGTTCAGTATTAATGGAGCCATCACAGAAGTGTAAGTTCCCTTTGCCAAGAGCACTGACACAGCCATGACAGACCCTGGCTTTATGTTGCTGGTAACAGTCTGGATGGTCCTTTTGGTCTTTTGTCCAGAGAACATTGGTCCATTCCTTCCAGAAAAGACCTGAAACACTGATTGGTCTGACCACAGTGCACGTTTCCACTGTGTGATGGTTCATCCCAGATGATGCCGCTGAGCCCAGAGCAGTCGACTGCACTTCTTGACATAGGGCTTCCTTTTGGCACAGTCCAGTTTTAAGCAGCATTTATGGATGTAACTACACTTTGTAGTGCCTGACACAGGTGAGCCAAAGTCATCCTGAGCCCATGTGGTTATATCACTTATAGAAGAGTAATGATTCTTGAAGCAGTGTCATCTGAGGGATCGGAGAGTACGGTCATCCAACTTAGACTTGGGCCCTTTACACACTGAAATCCCTCCAGAGTCCTTGAATCCTTTAATCATGTTCTCCACCGTGGAAGGTGATATGTATAAATCATCTGTGTCCTGTATTACATTGAAAATAACACAGCAGCACATTATTTGATGTGAAACATTTTATCCTTTGTTCAAAATAAACACTCACTTCAATTCTGATGCCTGCAACACATTAAGTAAAGCATTTACCACAGTGTGATGTTGCCGTTCCTTTTTACAAATCATTTATGGACTGAGGACACCAAGTGATTGTGTGTCAGGTGTAATTTTGTTCCAATTCTTCTGCAAAGAAATCTTAATGTGCACAACAGTCCTGGGTTTTTGTTGACACAGTTTGCATTTTAAAAATTTTAAAATGTGCCACACATTCTCTGTTGGGGACGGGTCGGGACTGCAGACAGGCCGGTCCAGCACTCACACCCTTTTTCTCCACAGTCAGGCCTTGGTAATGTGCAGGATGAGGTTTTGTCCTTGGAAAAGATGTTCGTCTTGAAGGCAGAATATGTTGCTCCAACATCTCTTTGTAGTGTTCAGTATTAATGGAGCCATCACAGAAGTGTAAGTGACCTTTGCCAAGAGCACTGACACAGCCCCAGACCATGACAGACCCTGGCTTTAGGACTTGTTGCTGGTAACAGTCTGGATGGTCCTTTTGGTCTTTTGTCCAGAGAACATTGGTCCATTCCTTCCAGAAAAGACCTGAAACACTGATTGGTCTGACCACAGTGCACGTTTCCACTGTGTGATGGTTCATCCCAGATGCCTCTGAGCCCAGAGCAGTCGACTGCACTTCTTGACATAGGGCTTCCTTTTGGCACAGTCCAGTTTTAAGCAGCATTTATGGATGTAACTACACTTTGTAGTGCCTGACACAGGTGAGCCAAAGTCATCCTGAGCCCATGTGGTTATATCACTTATAGAAGAGTAATGATTCTTGAACCAGTGTCATCTGAGGGATCGGAGAGTACGGTCATCCAACTTAGACTTGGGCCCTTTACACGCTGAAATCCCTCCAGAGTCCTTGAATCCTTTAATCATGTTCTCCACCGTGGAAGGTGATATATCCAAATCCCTTCCTATTTTTCTTTGAGGAACATTTCAAAAATTTTCTCAAGCATATGTTGGCAAACTGACGGTCCTCAGCTCATCTTCGCAATCACCTGTTGACATCACCTGTTTCAAATGAAATCATTATTACCTTGTTTTACCTCATTACTGGCCCTGAAGTGCAACTTTTTTTGGACTGTGTTGCAAGGATCAGAATTGAAGTTTGTGTTTATCAAATAATGAAAACTGTATTGTTTTCAATGTAAAACAGGACACAAACAATCACCTTTAATTGGCCACATATGTTTCCAGGACAGAACCAAGGCAGCAACACATAACTTGGGAGTTCAGTGTCTTGCCCACTGCAATACGTGGACTACAGGCACTGTAATTCAACCCTCCAGTTGGGAGACGACCGCTCTACCCACTGAACCACAGTGGCCCCTACAGGTACATTCCCATACCGGGAGTCAAACCCGGGCCACCTGGGTGAAAACCAGGGATCCTAACCACTAGACCATATGGGACTTCACAAAAAAACTGTTTTCTTCACCAACTTTTTCTGATTTGGGGTTGTATTAAATAATTTAGATATAGACTTAAGAGCATTCAAACCACTTAAATTGGGGTGATCTGATAAAAGGTACTGTGTGAAAACCAGCACTTAAAGAAAGAAAACAGGAACATATGGGCCTACTGGTAACATCTCACTAAGTTCACACAGATTTTGTTCTAATTAGTCACAGGCAACATGTGAAATATGACTTTTAAAATGAATGAATTTGTGATTCTAAGACCATGTCTCCCAATAATTTGATTAGAGTCATTTGACAGATATTGAATAGGTTATTGTGATCACAGTTTAATTGTTTTTTTAGTACAAATGCCAGACATTACCTAGCTACAGCTTCCTCTTGTGAAAATGTGCTGCTTTTTTTGTCTTATGTGATCCTCTTGTGAAAATGTGCTGCTTTTTTGTCTTGAGTAAACTGGACAACTGCAGTTCTGACTGAGCATACTCCATCTGCTGAGGAGGAAAGTGTGATATGGTGGCAAGGTCCAGAACAAATATATATGTGGACCTTGAGCTGTAATTGGTTTGTCGTTGAAATTGTTTGGGTTTTGTTTGTACTTTTTTGTATGTGTCCACTGAGTCTACCAGTGAATACATTTCAAATGTTAATATACCATTCAGTGGGTGTTATCAGAGGTCGTCACTCCAGTAATGATGTGTCACAATGCCCAACATGCACCTGTTCATTGGCCTGAGGGGAGCACATCACCAATACTGCGCAGAACAGCTCAAGCAACCTCTAGCAGTCCCAGAAATTATGACAACAGCAAAAGACTGATAATGTCCACATTGGAGGCAGGTTGTGGTATATAGGTGGGACAAAGCACAGGACTTTCAAACAAGAGACAGCTGTTTGTTTGTCATTTCAAACCAATAATCAGTGCTGTAAC